GTTACCAAACGGTGCCTAAATATTTCTCAATTGGTAACCCCGTCAATTATTCAATTGTAGTTGCTGTGTACATCACCAAAACTCTCCTTGAGCTTGAGAGATAGTGGCTAGAAATTGCTACCGAGAAATGGATAAGATTGTGCACAAAAACTTGAGTGTAAACGGGATCAGTATGCACGTAGCCGAGATCGGAGAAGGTCCGGCGGTGCTTTTGCTCCATGGTTTTCCCGAGCTGTGGTACTCTTGGCGCCATCAGATGCTTTATCTCTCCTCAAAAGGCTACCGGACTATCGCCCCCGACCTCCGCGGCTATGGCGACACCGACGCGCCGCCTTCCGCAGCCAGCTACACCGCTTTCCATATTGTTGGAGATTTGGTTGCATTACTGGATGCTTTAGAACTCGAACAGGTTTTCCTGGTGGCACATGACTGGGGCGCATTGATTGCGTGGTGGTTCTGCTTGTTCCGGCCAGATCGGATTAAGGCCTTGGTTAATACGAGCGTCCAATTTCACCCGAGGAACCCTTCCGTCTCATTTATTCAAGGATATAGATCTCTTCTCGGTGATGATTTCTACATGTGCAGGTTTCAGGTATGTTTATATTGAACATGTTTCGCTTAAGCTTGAACGGATACTTTGAAAGCAAATAATGCGTAATTCTTAATTTATCAAGGTAGGAAAATAAAAAAAAATCGCCGCCAACAAAATTATGGGTCAAGATTAGGGTTTATTGCTAGTCCTCGTTGTTCGATAAAATGTCGACAAGTAATAATGTAGTAAATTAAAATATCGTTCCACGAAAAATAATGTCTAATTATGATTTAATAATTATTATCAAATTTGACAAATTTTTTAACACAGAAGAGATGATTTTTTGTTTATACCCATTTTGTCGTGGTTTGGCTCCCATGATTTCTCGTTATTTAATATTTTGGCTCATTATTCAACCCAACTTGGTGGACACAACTCTATCCACTTCTATTCATATCATTTCAAAAGTCAAGAGAATCCAAAAAAATCCATTGAACCGTTCAAACCCATTGACATATATACCTTCCATTTTACTTGTGCAATGCCACTTACCCCTGCCATCGCTCAACCAAGTTGCAAAACTAGGGGCACAAATGTCACTTCCTGCATTGACCAGCTTAGTCAAACCCATGTTAACCACGTAATTGTACCGTCGGCTATCATTTAGACGTGTGGCCCGGCAATTTTTGAAAAAGTCGAAAATTTAAGTATCTTTTGGAATTTGGGTGGAAAACAAGTAAATTTTAGGGAATTGAATTGTTTAGAATTCATTTTATTAGGAATTGTCAATTAATTGTATTTGATTGATATAATTTTTCACTTGAAAAATGTTGAAATTTTGGATCTTTTGATGTCCGTTTGACTTTGTTTTCCATGAAAATTGATCATTAAAAGGAAAAAAAAAAACAATTGGGGATAAAATTTATTTTCATTACAAATAAAAAAAATTGGAAAAACTATTTTCTCACATGGAAAAAAGAATTCCTCAAAAATCAAGAATTGAACATATGTGGGCACAAGGTAGAAATTGATTTGTCAAGAACATTTGGTCAATCAAACAATGAATTTGTGTGGAAATAGAATTTCTTTTCCATTTTCCATGGAACTTTTTCTCAATCAAACAGGGTCTAATGGTTTTTAATGTGGCCAAACAGAGGCTTTAAACTATGAATTTCATGCAGAAAAAATATAGATACTCATTTCATGGTGGGCTCCATGTGAATTAAATATTGCCAAAAAAGGACCCCACCTATTTGTGTGTATTTCGTATACTTTCTTTGTTTTTTTCCCTGGTCTCTTAAACTATGAAGGTAATAAAATTGTTTTATCAAGTATGCAATGAATGTATTGAATTTCTGAATCCCTCTATTGGTGCTATTTCCAATTATCGACCCATAAATATTATTATTTTATGATGTTAATGACAATCGATAATCTGATTTTATTCATATTTGTTTCCAAGATATATTAAACTTATGTTTAACACGACCCCATTTTATTCATAGTCCGCATTTATATGAAATATATTCATTAGTTCACATGATTTATCTCACAAGATTGCACACGAACTATTATTCTTAATACCTATTGTACGTGTGTTAAATAGGTAGTGTTCCACCTATTGTGAGCACCCAACACTACAAATAGGCAACATGTTATCTAATTGGTAGCTAAACAATTAAATAATACACTATGAATACATAAATAATCAAAACCCCAAGAAATTACTAAATTCACGAATCATAAATTAAATTTAACAACTATAAGGTTCATCACCCATTCAATACAAATGAAAAATCTAACATAACATTATTGTAATTAATTACACAAGAAAAATTGAAAAAAAAAAAAAAACCTCAGAATTAAGAAAAATGGAAGAAAGAGGAAGTATTCATGTTTTTTTACTTGAATCTTGAAATCGGGCTACGGATCTTCAATTCCTTATATGATTCGTCTTAATTTGATGTATAGAGTTGTCCTTCACTTCCAAAGATATATAGAATACATGTAGAATTAGGTCCAATGGAGGTTGGAGACGTTCTGATCGAGTTTTGCAATATATAGAATGCGAAAAGATTGGATTCTAAAAGATGCAAAAATAAGAAAAAAAAAAGATTGAATTCTCAGGTAGTTTTGGAGGTGCGGAGGTTTCATAAGAGGAGGAGGAGCGCGCTGTCCTGAGCAGCTTTCAATATTTTTATCATAACTTCCTTTCCCGATATTCGATTGATGCGATTTAAAGTTCATTGGAAAGATAATTCAAAAAAGATAACTCAAAGGGATGCAATTCTTTTAGAAATAATATTTTTCCAATTCGAATGTTTGCTATGCCAAAAATAGATCTCAATATGAGGTTGAAAATTCGAAACATAACTTTTTCGGCTGAAATTTGATGTGTGATAACACTTTAACCATATTTCATCCATTTAATTTCTTTTCTCATCCAATTGACACTTAGCACTCTCTAATCTTCCTCTTGAGGTCTGTCAAAACTTTTGAGCATTTGCACTTTAGTCCTCCTGACTTTGAATCCTTTACAATTGAGCTCATTTTCACAAATTTATTCTAATTTTTCATCAAATCATGAGTTTTACCTATTAAACATAATATATAACAAATTAGATAATATTTCATCAAAATAACTACAAAATGTCATTATTTAAACTCCGAAACTCGCCCTACGCATCTAATCAGAATGAGAGTTTCAAATGTCCATGTTTGGACTCCATTTTCTAAAACCCATTCTTTCTTAAATTCATTTTCAATTGAATATTTCATAGAATTCACAATTTTTATCAATTTTTCAATCATATATTTCATTAGCCTTTAACAAAATCTGCTAACATTTAATTTGTAAATAAACCAAACAAGGGTTATGACTTTTTGTCTTTGTTCGACCAGTCGATCGAAGGTTTATGAGCCTTTGAAGACTTCTAACTTTAGACACAAAGCGAATTATTATTAAGTACAAATTTACTTATTAATAAGCATATTCTTTTGTAAAAGATTGTGTCGATGAGATAATTCCTTCCAAACATCATGTGCTTTCATGCAATCAGTACAATTTATGAGATTTTGAAGTTCTCTTTTCGATAAATTAGGGGTGATTTTTATGGTCTTATAGCATCCCCGTGAAGGGGAGAAATACAGTCATTCTCAATCTTGATTCTCAGTGAAATTATGCCGAACGTACATGTTAACCAATAGAATCTTTTAGTAGCCGAATCTAGCTATAATCAATGGGCGCATCACATTGTTTGATTCTCATTTTTTTTAAAATACATTCTCTCTTTCTTTTTAACTACACATTTTTCAATAAAATAATATTATGTGCGAAAAATGCTACTTGTACACATTGGACCCCCTACACATGTGAGAGGGTTGTGTACCAAGTTGTGTACCAAACTGTGTAAGTGCAGCAAGATTCTATTACGTGCAAACCCAAAAAATTTTCTTATTTTTTAACCACATTTTCCATTAATCTACTATTCTACAATGCATTCTTAATATTTTAATGAGGCTCAAACAGAAATACTCAATCTATTTGGGATCAATTATAATGAGTTTTTTTTTAAGATAATGTATTTTGAAATAGTGAATTCTTTTTTAAGAATGTGTGGTTAAAAAAAAAGAAAAAATTTTGTGTTCATGTTTAATATTATTTTATTGAAAAATGTGTGGTTAAAATGAGGTGGGAGAAAAATGTATTAAATTATAATGGAGACCAAACATGTGCGAAGTCTAAACTAGTAATAGAATATGAATTCTCGTCTTTCGACTTGAATTGTGGGTCCCTTAAACATATTGAGAGCCTATTTGAGCTCCATATTTGTCCAAAATGCATTTTGAGTATTTTGATGGAGAATATGTGGTTAAAAAATAAGGAAAATTTTGGATTTGCATGTAATATTATTTTATTAAAGAATGTGTGATTGAAAATAAAAAAGAAAAATGTATCTTGAAAATACTGATGACGAAACAAGGGCCGAATGTTATGTTATGATCTAGGAACCAGGTGAAGCAGAAGAGGCACTTGCATCAGCTGAAACAACACATGTAATGAAGTCATTCTTTTCATTCCGAGGTGGAAAACCTATCATTGTACCTAAAGATGTAGGGCTTAAGGCACTTTTCCAGGATCCATCGGCATTGCCCTTGTGGCTTACTGAGGAGGATCTCAACTATTATGCCACCAAATTCGAAAAAACAGGGTTCACTGGAGGATTGAACTACTATAGAGCATTCGACTTGTAAGTCGTTCTTGTCCATTGTCCCCTTCTTCGTCCTCGTCCCCTCCAAGGCCCTCCGTGACCTCCCTCTTTACCCTGGATACGTGCCCCTCCCCACTCTTGCCATGTAATAATATTTGTTTGCACGATCGATGCAGAACCTGGGAGCTTGGAGCACCATGGACTGGATCAAAAGTACCTGTGCCTGTGAAATTTATCATTGGTGAACTGGACATAACCTACCATGTTCCTGGTGTCAAGGATTACATACACGATGGTGGGTTCAAGGAAGACGTTCCATACCTGGAAGAAGTGGTCGTGATGGAAGGAGTCGCACATTTCCTCAATCAAGAGAAACCCGAGGAAGTCAGCGAACATATATATGACTTCATCAAGAAGTTCTGATGAATCTTCATTATTTTCCTCTCGTTACATACAGTTTCAACAAATCTTTGAATAAGAAATTAGCATTGACAATTCTCTACTATCTATAAAACTGCATGTTTTCCAATAAGCAGTTGTGCCTATTGCAAAATACTTAAATCAGTACGGGAATGTTTTGATGTGTAGTCCTAGATTGGACTCGATAGCGCAGTTGACAAGATTTTGGTCCAGCACATGCATTAAATCATTGGCAAAGATTGACTTAGATCCATTGTTAGAATTAAACTCACACTAACATAAAATGAAACATTCGAGTTTGTAAGTACAATGTATTTGCCAGAAACTACTAACGTTCAATCCCAAGTCTTTTGGATATCCATAATGCTGCAACTGAAGATGATAACAGACAATAGATAAACTTTCGAGGAGATTCCTTGCCAACATATCAATCCTAACTCAGTAGTCTTGGTAATCATATCGTGAAATTATCTCCAAGTCGGATTGTGTGAACATGTGTAAGGAATCAAAAACAGATCAAAACTTCTGGATGAAGTCGTAAATGTGTGCACTAATTTCATCTGGTTTTTCTTGGTTAAGAAAGTGAGCCACTCCTTCCATGACTACTACTTCCTGCAAAAATGGCACCTGTCGCTTGAAGCCACCACCATGTATATATTCCTTTACACCTGGGTTATTATACGTAAGGTCGAGATCTCCCACGACAAACTTAACTGGAACCTTTATTTGCACCCCAGTCCACGATGCTGTGAGCTCCCAATTCCTGCAGCAGTAAGAAAGAAAATATTACACAGCTTGAAAAAAAAAGTCCTGAAAATAACTGTTATGTACTAAATCCCATGGGTATGTTGAACTAGAATTATTTTTTTATTTTTTTAATATGTTTTGTACTGTTAATCTATCTTACCAACATGTTACAAAGCATACCAATCAATATTAATGAAGAGAAAGCAAGCCTCATTAATATCATCCCAACTTTTAGTGAGTCACCAGATCATGCAAGATTGATGAATGTGCTCAACAAAAAATGCCATATTCGTTGTTCAGGGATTGAAAATTTAGGGATGACAGAAATTTTTTTGTAGCTGCTGTATGAGGTATGTACAGAAATTAAGCAGCATATGTTGAATATTGCCCAAAAAGACAGAACAAGGAAAATGAAAAGATCAATAATCCATGTCAAAGATGGATCGCTCCAATAAAGCATGGACCCTAAAAGAATTTATCACGGATTAAAGGGGAGAAGGAAAAATGAAATGCGAGTAAGACTTACAGGTCCATAGCTCGATAGTAGTTTAATCCACCCGTGAAGCCTGTTTGGTAAAATTTGCTAGCATAATAATTGACATCATCTTCTGATAACCAAGATGGCAACGTAATTGAAGAATGAGGTGAGCCCCCAAATCCTCTACTTTTAGGGACACAAAGTGGAGCTGGATTTCGAGCCGTTAAAAATTTCTTGATCAATCTTGCAGTGTCAACACGAGCAAACTCCTCTTCCACTTCCCCAGGTTCCTACAGGAAAATTAACAAATCTACAGATTTCGTATAACAAAAATTTGAACAAGATGTTCAACATCAGAGCATGTAGGAGTCATATGGTACAGACAACCATAAGATGAAACTGATCTACAGAGTCACGGGGAAGCCATGTACTGAGGTATGGTCATGTCTCATGTACGAAACAAGTGAAACTCAATTCATCATCTTAAAGACCAGAGGACCAACATAAACTCGTCAGATTCAAGAATGATGAATAGTCAACTGTATTGAAAATTTAAACAGGGTCTAAAACAGAGTAGAAAAAGCATTGAGATAATAGCCCAGACTAGCATAGTGTTAATGGAAACGATATACTTGTTAAAGCATTGAACTCGTTAGTCCAGGATTAATTGTAAATCTTCCAAACCAAGCTCAATAAATTTTGTGCAGAACGAAACACGCTCTCTCAAAAACAGCAATATGAAATCCTCAAGAGCAAGGCAAAAGGTCCATACAATGCACTTCAACATTTGCACATTGTTGGCAAGTTTTTGAAAAGTGCTCTCTATTTCAAGTTTATCACGTAAGTACTTCCAACCGCATTTTTATGTATCAGCTTAATGTTCATGGAAAGTCGGAAACAAGTCAAACAACCCTGACCAGAATACAAATGCACACAACCCACATGACTAAATAACTTGCATGTAGTAGTTGAGACCTCTAACCACCTCATTTAAAAAAAAAAATACACTCTTAGAGAAGGTACAAAGTTATTCAATTAATATTCATCTTCAACACACTCCTCACGGGTGCACCACATTCATTGTTTACCAAAGACCCGACTCGTGTACAATTTTTATAAATTGGTGGCGCCAATTGTTGAGCTTAGTCTTTTGTATGATCCTCAGAGACATTATTTGAAGACTTCCCAAGATTGGAAGGAAAACAACAAAATGCACTGAATTTAATGCTCTCTAACTAAAACAAGGAACTTCTAAAAATAGATACCTCATAAATGCAGACTACATCCTAATACAGAAGCAAATCTTTGCACCTCATGCTTCAACAGTTGTACATCGTCAAAATTGGGAGGTACATACACAGATAAATGATCTCATCACCTTATGCCCCCATAGCACTAACCAATAATAATAGCCCTAACAGTATATACTCCATCACCAATCATTAATTATCCTAACGTATAAATTTCTCTCAATTATAAACAAATTAAAACCAAAAAATCTTAGCAACACGGGTAAAATCGAAATCATTTAAACATTAAAAGTAGAAATTGACTTTTAAGATGAACCCAAAAATCGTATGAATCAAACGGAATTATGGTACCTGAAATCTGCAAATATAATAATCATCCCCAAAAATAGCACGCATGGATTCAACAGGTTTTCTCCTCGGATTTCTAGGGTGGAATACAACGCTCAAATTGACTAAAGCCTTAATCCGGTCCGGCCGGAAAAGGCAGAAGTACCAGGCAATAACGGCCCCCCAGTCGTGGCCCACCAGGAAGATCCGGTCCAGACCCATAACATCCAACAGACCCAATAAATCACCCACTATGTGAAAAGCGGTGTAGCTGGCGGCGGACTGCGGCGCGTCAGTGTCACCGTAGCCGCGAAGATCAGGGGCGATGGTGCGGTAGCCTCTGGAAGAAAGGGAGAGCATTTGATGGCGCCATGAATACCAGAGCTCCGGGAAACCGTGGAGGAATAGGATTGCAGGGCCTTGACCAATTTCTGCAACGTGCATATTTATTCCGTTTACATGGATTGTTTTGTGTTGAATTTTGTCCATTGTTTTTGTCTTGCTCTTCTCCGGTGAGTGCTGGGGTTGGGGGCATATGATGATGAAACCGTAGCTTCTGTAGCTCGTTTGGTTTTGATATATTTAACCTTTAATAAATTTCGATAAAAATTAATAAAATGTGTGATTTACATGTAGTCCTCAAACGCTTCAGTCCTCGCATCATCTAGAATTGAGGAACAGAAGGAATTGATAAATTAAGTCCTTTTATTTAACAATTATTCACATGACCAGTGATAAAATTTACAAAATATATTGGTCTCTTTCCTTGAAGTGTACACTCTCGCGGCATATGACTCCATCCCAAAATTAGAGCCTTCCCTTTGACCAACAGCTACTTAATCCCGCTTCTAGATTTATCTACTTTATTGTTCATACAATACTTGCATAGGATAATATAATTTTAAAGGAAATTTACAAAAATGACTAATTCCATACTTATCAATTAAAAAATGTCTATTTTTGATCATTCTTGCAAAAATTACCAAATTTAGTACTAAAATTGTTTATTATACCCTAAATTATAAATGAAGTAATTTTTTTTTTCCAATTTGTTATGAATTTCGAGTAGATATAGCTTCCACGAGTAGCTACATTAAAATAACGTTCTCGATATTTTAAAAATTGTTATCGATATTTGAACCATATCTATCTTGATACTTCATTTATTTAGAACAAGATTTCATTTCAAACATGAAAGTTCTCTATATTTTATAAAATTCTTGACGTTTGAAATGTAATTCTTGATATTTTATACCCGTGTCAACGAGAAATATAACCTTTATTGTGATTTTGATGTGTGTACTTTTAAAATAACTAGGGTATGTTATGTGCAGGGGCGGAGTTAGAAAATATATTAGGCTGGACTGAATTTTTTTTTTCCCAATGAACTTGTACACTAAAAGATATTCTAAACCACACGATAAAACAAAAACTGGACCCAAAATCGGGCAAAATCATGCCCAGCTAACTCATTATGACAAAATCGTTCAAAACTCACTGAACTGGTCGGTTCAACCGTAAACTGATGAACTAATCGCAGTTTGGTGGTTTTCCTAATTTTTTTTTTCTTTTTTTAGTTTAAAAAATTTTAACTTAATGAATGAACCCTATAGATTATAATTCGAAGGCCCATAGAAAACTATTGAATGTCATGCTCATATTATAAATGCACTTATCTTAAATGGTTTCATAAACTTCTAATGTGAGATAATGTCTTTTATAGATGCTCTTCTTTCCAATGATTTCATAAACTTCCAATGTGAGATAGTGACATAATAAAAAAATGTTAAAATGTCCATTAAAAATCATTTCCAAATGTATGTCTAATTGACTAATTTGATTTTGAATCCAAACTAATTAAATTATAATATTCACATTCATCCTTTCATTTATTTAATTTTCAAATTTAACTTAAATCCCACTTGATGTTTAATATATTAATGTTATATATTATTTTCTATAAGTTTAAAACATTGGTCATAATATATTTTGAACACTCGTAACAATGTTCTAACAAATATATTTTTAAACTAATAAAATTAAATATATAGCATATTGCTTATTTTCATAATAACATTATTTCAGAAGCAACTTCACGGTGAAAAACTAAAAATAATAAAATTAGCCTAGCCCATAAATTATTTCCCAACTCAGAAACAAATTCATGGTGAAAAATAAAAAAAAAATAGTAAAATTTGTCGAGCTCAAATATTAATTTTAGCTCAATTAATTTTATTTACAACCCAAGTATAAAACTGGAATGATACACAATTAACCAAATATTTAAATCAAATAAACCAAATATTAAAAAAAAAAAAAAAATTGGTTTTGAGACATTGAACAAATTTTGGACATTTTTACGAATGATCATGCGAAAGTCGACATTTCTTGTAATTTTATAGGTTTATTATTATCTATCTTTACAAGTTGGTATTTTGTTGGAGTCGAAATTTGATGGGTTATCGTTGATGATTTGGACTACAATAGAACATGAAGACCAGCGATCTCAAAGCTTGGCCAAGGGAGGTGTAATTAGTTACCTATTATAGTCAGATAGATACTTCAACAACTTTGACATTGAGAGTGAAATTCAGTTTTTTTTTTTTTTTCCGTTCATATTTAGGGGATTGTGTAAGCCCCGTTGTTTTCAAAATTCATTTTCAACTACATATTACTTCAATAAAATAATATTACACGTTTTTTATTTTATTTTTTAATTATACATTCTCCGAAAATCACTATTCAAAAATGCATTTTTGTTTCAAAATGGAGCTCAAACAAATGCTTAAAAAACTCGTTTGGTACAATTTCTTTTTACGAAAAAGATTATCTTTTGAAGAGGGATTAAAATGTGAAAAAAAAGTTGTAAATCCCATAAAATGTATAGTTTAAAATGATTTTGAAAAAAAAAAATCTTTGAAGAACAAACTTAAAAAAAGATTGTTACTTTACCAGAAGGATTTTGACAGATGCAGTGACGGAAGTGTAGATAACAGCAAATGATTGGATAGAAATTTAAACAGTCAAATGATAGAATGTTATGTAACATTCGTCAGCCTATCTGACATTGTAGCATGATTGAAAAAATAATTTTATAAATTTACACGCTGCAAATAGAATATAATTATTTACTGTCGTTATCAAGAATTGATAATATTGGTTCTTGAAATTTTTTATAAATTAATTAATTAAAAAGTCAAATTGCTCAATAAAAATAGAACAGTTCTTTTTAAAATTTTTCATAAACCTACAGAAAAACTTAGCACTAAACTAGTCTACAATAATAATATATCCACGAAAACAACGTGAACCACTTTTATGTTATTATTGGTGAAACCGAACTATAAACTCATCAATTACAATAGACTGAGCGCAAGACAAATTACATAAAGGCACAATGGGATTATAAACATGAATCAATAATTCCTTCCTACATATCATGGAATTCGAAAAAATTAGGCTTTGTGAAGGTAAATAACTAATGGGATGAGGGCAAAAACAAACCCAAACCGATTTGGTTTGATTTTAAAGTTCAATTGGCTTGAAAAATCAAATTTGGGGTCGGGTCGATGAGGGTTATGAATTAGAACCAACACAAACCCAATTTAAAAAAATTAATGCCTAAAATGAAAATAATATAAATAGACACAATTGTGGAGACAAACAAAAGGATTTAGAATGTACAAATATTTCTTTTTTGACATGGACTGTCAGATACGAATATAATGTACAAATGTAAAGTTATTTGACGATAAATGATGAAATGAATGAATCCAAAAAAAAAAATTCATAATTTCCAACTTATTTATACATTATTTTTTTATAAAGAATTCCTTATATATATTAAACACATCGGAAACTTTCAAGTGATTTCAAACTTTAAAAAATTGTCAAAATTCAATGACAAAAAAAAAAAAAAAATAATTGGATATGATGGTCGGTGCCACAATCTTTTCCCAGATTTATTTAAAGTGTGCGTATCACCAAATTTGGATCCACCTAGGTGACGAGTAGAAAACTGCTTTTAAAACGAATGATGGTCTTTGTGAGTGGTAGGTCATGTCTTTTGGACAAACCAATGCTCCAAGTACCCTTATGAGGTTGATGACACAGGCTTTTTCACCATTCATGGGTAGAAATTCGTTGTTGTCTTCCTAGGATTCATTGTTTCCGCTATGGGAGTATCTGCTGATCCCGCAAAGATTCATGTTATTGTTGGTTTGCTCGAACCTAAGACTATACATGACGCTAAGATTTTTCGTGGCTTAGCTACCTTTATTTCTTCGTTTCATCAAGGGGTTTAGCACGATCATGGCTCCTATTGTGGAGTGTATGAAGATGTGAGATTTTCACTAGATGCAGGAAGCGATTAAGGCTTTTAAGTTAGTTAAAAATCGATGACAGAACCTCCTATCATGCGACTTCCCGATTTTTCCAAAGTTCTTGAGGCCGAATGTGATGCGTGTAAGGGGTAGAAATATGTGGAGTCCTGAGTTAGGAGCGCCATCCTATTGCTTATTTTAGTGAGAAATTAAATGATGCCAAACAACGATACTCTACTTATGATGAGGAAATGTACGTAGTTGCACAAGCTCGCGCTATAGGCGTCATTACTTGTTACCCAAGAATTTATCCTCTATTCGGACCATGAGGCTCTTCACTTCCTTAATTCCCAGAAGCGGTTAAATTTTAGGCATGGTCGCTGAAGCGAATATCTGCATGCCTATTCTTTTGTTTTGAAGCATAAGAAGGTCGTTGAAAACCAAGCAACTCATGCTTTAAGCCTTTGCATCTCACTTTTGTCCATCATGAGTGTCAAGGTCATAGGTTTTGAAAGGCTTAAGGAAGAGCACGAGTCATGTCTCGATTTTAAGGACATTTTTCTTGCTTTGTAAAGTGGGCAGTTGAATACTACTGACAGTTTCGATCTTGAGGAGGGACTATCTTTTTAGATCCAATAAGTTGTGTATAGGACTTCAATGTAAGACTTTATAGTTTAGGGAAGTCCTGTCGGAGGATTGGCCGGACATTTTGGACGTGATAAGACCATAGAGAATGGAATGTCAATTCTATTGGCCCAATTTAAAGATAGATGTGGCTAATATAGTTAGCATTTGTAATACGTGTCAACGGAGCCAAGCAAAAAATGCAGACACGAGTCTCTGCATGCCTCTTTCGGTCCCTAGTCGTCATTGGCAAGATGTCGTTATGGATTTTGTACTAGGATTTCCACGTACTCTTAAGAAAGATTAACTCTATTTTCCTTGTAGTGGACCGCTTCTCGAAAATGGCTTACTTTATCCCTTGTAGCAACACTTCCGACGCATCTAAGGTTTCTAAGATATACTTTTATAAGATCATCAAGTTGTATGGTCTTTTTAAATCCATTTTTCTTAGGTAGGGATGTTCGTTTCACTAGTCATTTTTGGAGAACCTTGTGGCATATGGTTGACACTAAATTGAAATTATCTACTGCCTACCACCCTCAGACTGATAGTTAAACTGTAGTTGTCAGCTGTAGTCTTGGCAATTTATTAAGGTATCTAGTCCAAGAAAATCTTAGGATTTGGGATTTGATCCTCCCTATAGCCCAAATTGAGTATAACAGTTTTGTGAATAGGTCTCTAGGCATTAGTCCCTTTGAAGTTGTTCAATGTTATAAACTTAGAAAGTCTTTAGACCTTATTTTCATGTCCCCACATGGTAGTGTGTCTGTATTAGCTGAAGCATTTGCACAACATCTTCATGACTTTCATATTGAGATCAATAAACAACTTGAAGTAAGTAATGTATCATATAAACTTCGAGCTTATTTGTATAAACGACATGTTAAGTTTAATATTGGGGATTATGTTATAATTCAAATTAGATCGGAATGACGTCCACCTGGGCCTGCTTCCAAGTTGCAAACCCGTATTGCTGATCCTTTTTAAAATTTTAAAGCATGTTGGTCCAAATGCACATTTCTATCACATTTTGGCTACCACTTTACTTTCAATGTTGAGGACTTAGTTGCTTACAAATGCCATTTTAATCCTTCCAAAGATCTTTCCTACATCCATTCGTGGGACACCAACTTGAATATGTTGTTATTTCTACACCGATTCCACCTATCACAACACACAAAGATAAAATTGTTGTTATTTTAGATGAATATATTGTGTTGACCAATGATGGAGAGATTCAACGCTTCCTTGTTCGTTGAGTAGATTGCCTTGACTCTGATTGTATATAGATTTCCAGAGACAATCCAACAGCTTGATCCGAATTTATTGGAGTTTTATAGGAGTCAGCGGGATTTTTCTTTGCTAGGCATTGGTGAGGACAACAAATTTAGACCACCAATCACGCGTATTTATAGGCGCCGCAATTAGATTGTTCAACCACTTAGCTTATGGTTGGGAGATTGATTGCCACTTTTTTGTGATTTATCTGCTCGAAAGAGTTGAGTTTCTACACAACCCAAGAGAGTTGATGAGAACATCTATATTTTTGTTCTCGTTGTTATGGACTTCTATTTATGCTTCCACGAAACACCAACTTGAATCTGTTGCTATTTCTACACCGATTAAACCTATCACAACACGCAAAAATAAAATTGATTTTATTTTAGATGAACATATTGTTTTGACCAATGATAAAGAGATTCAACGCTTTCTTATTCGTTGAGTAGATCGTCCCGATTCTAATTATATATGGATTTACAAAGAGACACTCCAGCAATTTGATCCGAATTTATTGAAGTTTTATAAGAGTCAGCAGAATCTTCCTTTGCTAGGCGTTGGTGGAACCATCAGATTCAGATTACCAATCACACGTATTTATAGGCGTCATAAGAAGATTTTTCAACCACTTAGTTTATGGTTGGGAGATTGAGTGCCACCTTTTGTGATTTATTCACTCGACTTTTGTGATTTATTCACTCGACAAGGTCGAATTTCTACCCACCTCGAAAAAGTTTATGAGGACATCTATATTTTTGTTCTAGTTGTTATGAACTTTTATTTATGCTTTAGTAATTGGGCTTGTATTAATGGGTTGCCCAAACTTTTATGCTTTTGGGTTGCTTTATCTATTTATATTGTTTTGTAATTGAAACAAATCAGTTGATGAATGAAGTCAACCACGTTTGGCTTATTGTCCACTCTCACACCCCCGTATTCCCTCTTCTCCCTCTTTCTCCTCTAACGTGCTCCCTCTCTCCCTCTTCTCTTCTTCTCCTTCTTGCTGCGATTCTGTTATTCAACTTCTTTTCAATTGATTCTACATCAGCAAGGCATTTAACAAGTGGTAGCATTTGATATGAAAAAAAAAGGCAAAAAAAAAAAAAAAAAGATTTCTTCAAGTGGCAACGAGGGGCACATGAAATTTTGTAATAGTTGTCAAAGTGTTTATGAAAGTTGTGAAGGTTATATTATCCGAATGCTAAATGATACATGCAAAAAGGAAGTTTTTGTATTGCAATTGAATCCAAAATGTTAATCAAGAAAACGTGAGAACTGGGACAATAACTAGACAGACAAAATCTCTTGAATAAAAACGATAAATGAAAAATCTGCCGTCAACCTGGCAACATGTAGAAAGAAACTAAACCTTAAAGCCTCTGCTGTTTCTTCTTCCTCTAGCTCGCTCAAATTTCCTTCCCTTGGCCCGCACGTAAGGCTTGGTATGGCTGTGTGGAACACCAGGAGCTGGACCAAAGTGCTTCACTGCTTCACGAGACTTTGTCGGACCTCTAAGAAGTACCTGCATTACAACAGCATGTTTAGCAAATTCAACAGGTACGCAAGGCAACTCACGTGTACTTTACATGAACAAAACACAAGTCATTAGCTAACTTCTGAATATAACCATTGGGGGAAATTCAAATGTTACTTGATTTTTCAACATGTAGATTCAATTTACAAAAGGCTCGTTTGGGATTGTTTATAAGTTGCTTAAAATAATATTGATAGAAATGAGTGGTGGACATGTAGGTGGTAGTTGTGAGTCCTACAAAATGTACGATTAACTTAAAGTTTTACCAACTTAAATTATAGGTTGAGGAAATCCGAATGCACACAAAGCTGGTAAAAAATGGAAATTTCTAAATCATATCATCAAATACAAGATTACAAGTAAAAAGATAGCATGGCATTATCAGTATTTAAAAAGGCAAAAATGGGTATTGAAGCATTTATCTTCTGTGAGGTGTAAGCCTCGCAGTGAACCAAAAAAATTAGTGAAAAAAATACAAGTATAAAATAAGCATGTTTAACCATAAGCAAAATGTACAAATCCCAAAACAGACATTAATACCTTATTCTTGATGTAATATGATTTTTTTTCTTTTCTCATATCTTAATCATGTCTTGATTAAGATATGATTTCTTCATTCTTTTAAATTAAGATTCTTAGGATTTTAATTTAGGGAGCATTTGGTATGGCATTTGTTTTTGCTTTTACTTCATGTAAAAAAAACATTTGGAGGAAGTTATCTTAATTTTTGTTTGAAAACTAATTTTTAAAAGCACTTCATATTCAAGAAGTGTAAGAAAATCACATTGGACCAACTCTCTCTAAAAACTCTTCTAACTATAAGCACTTTCATAAAATTAGCCAAACGGATCCAGAAGTTGCTTTTGAGTATGAAAAACTCCTTTTGACTTTTCAAAAGCCACACCAAACGAGGCCTTAGTTCCCTTATATTAGCAAGACCTTATAAACAAAGGTTTTGTACGCTCGTCAACAATCAAATTCAATCAATTAAATACACTAAAATTTTACTCCACAAATTTCTAATTTTTCAATTTCATTATTCATGTTTCAAGAATTCCAATTTCGCATTTCGCATTTCGCATCAATATTGGTATCAAAGGTTTTGTACACTTCTCGTAATCAAATTCGATCAATTTAGAACCTGTCTGGCAAAAATTAAAAGCAGCTTGGAATCGATTTTTGTAGCCTTTTTTGTCAAAATTGTGGGGGCCACATCACACAACAAGGTCCACAATGGCGGCTCCCACGGTTGAAATTGTGATTTCAATCACAAACAGACAGGGCCTTAATACAATAAAGTTAATCTCTACAAATTTTCCAGTTTTTCAACTTTATTTTTGTTTCAAGAATTTCAATTCCGCTTCCGCACCAATCAAACACGCACGGACCTTTAATAATGAATATAACAATTAAGAAAATGACAGCAAAAGGTCTCGAAAGACTTTACCGTATTCTGGCCAAGGGGAGCTCTAAGAGCAAGCTGGTCAAAAGTCAAACACTCTCCACCTGCCTTCTCAATCCGAGCTCTTGCCCTCTCAGTGAACCTCAGAGCGGCGACCTTAAGTGGTAGCACTTCATACGCCCGGATGTCATCGGTGACAGTCCCGACAAGCACTGCAGTCTTGTCCTCCTAGTGGAACATTAAAGAACAAATATTCTCAAGGTTTATTAAAAGAACTTTGCAATTTTGAAAACATCCATATGACATAACGATGCCTATCTGTTTCAATTCTATTAAAAAGATCAATTTATTGAGAATTCTAGTAAAAATGGACGAAGAAAGGATTTTGTCCATGCAAGGTAATATATGATATGATTACGTTCTATGAGCAAAAATCATTGTAGAGTTCAAAGAGTATTGGAAAAAAGATTAACCATTTTTGGACCCAAGAATAAATCTCAATTACTTGGTCGGACCTGCTTGTTTCACTAAATATTTGCAAAAAACTTAACAAGCTTGACCCACACAATTCAAAATTTCTCTGCCCACGTTCTCCTCAATTTCCAACAACTACAATCATGGGATGGACTAAGATTCCAAGTTTAAGAAGCCAATGTAACTAAAATAATCAATCCTATTCATTCCTCGTAATGAAGGAATCAACACAACATCCACGATTGGAAACTAGGAGGACAATATCACAATTTCGCTCCAAGATTAACAGTCAACAAAAAATAGGAAATAATTACCTTGCCCTTCATGAAAGTTATAAGGCGGGAGAGAGAGAGCGGGGCCTTGTTAACCTTGCTCATGAACAGTCTCTTCAGCACCACCGCATTGAACTTGCTCCCCGTCCTCCTCACCAAAAATCGATACAACTACCACGTCATCAAAACGCAAAT